TGAAAAAAGGTTTATTGTGCGACCTGAGTAACGCGCAGTAACGGGGTGTCTGCAATGGTAACTGCGTTATAGTCACAGTCAAAGTAATTAGTTAGATTACTCGTTACTAAAACAAGGTAACGGCGTTAGTAACGCCGTTACTTTCAACGCCGTTAGTCCCATCACTGCCTGTAACCTCCACCACCCAGCCCCCTCCTTCTTGCCGTGTGTTTCCAAAGCCAGCTGAATAGAGCGGACGACAAAGACAAGAACCTGCAGAGAGTTTTGCATTTATTGCAACTCAACGTAAATGACATCAGGGGGGAACGCTATCTGACGGGCCTATAAACCCCATCAGATAGCGTTCCCCCTGCTTAACATGGGGGGAACGCTATCTGATGGGCCTTCGACAAAGTAGCAACATTATCTGTGCTAGCTGCATCACTTTTGCCTTTCTTACCAGGAGGTTTCTCTGGAGTAATGGGCAGCTGAGGGAAGTCTTCTTCTGTCAGAGAGAGCTTAGGGATGTCAGAACGGGTGGCATAATCATGACAAGTATGGATGGAAGCGTAAGAATCTTTGCCACTGCTGGTACCTTTCACCCCTGTGGGATTCCCCGAGCTGTTTCTCTTTCTACTTGAAATGGACATATTACAGAGAATAGGTTTCTGGGGTTGACGTAGACAAATAAAAGTTCAATATAATTTAGAAGAGAGTGAAGATATGTCATTTAAAGGCTACCTGAGAAAATAAAAGTTCAATCTGAAGGCTGCTCTCAAAATGTGTGACCTTTCAAAACGCCATCTTGGACCCTCTCTGCCTATGTATTTATTTTGAATTTCAAAAATGCAGCATTTTTCCCTTAGTCTCTGACGCCAACTGATGTGTTGCTATTGGCTGATTCATCCTTCCATCAAACCAAGGCGCCAAAAAAATAAACGAATAAACAAAACATGCAATGCAAAAGGAAACAAATTAGTAAATCTAAAGAAACGCAAAGCAAACAAAGTGTAAAAGGAAAAAAAGCAAGCACTTCAAACAGTGGAACAAATTCTCATTGTCTAATTTCATATGCCTTTCAAAGGGGCCAGAGGAGTCATGCCGCTCTCGCTCAGCCTGTCCAAGCAGCAGCATGTTTTGTTGAGAGCGGCCCAAACAAACATCATCAAAACAAGACAGCAGAATGTCCAAAGCACTGCAGCTACAAGACAACCCCAGGAGTGAAAACACAGCCCAACCAGGGAGAAAGTGGACCAGCAGGTGAGGACTAGATAGACACCGCACAACGCAACAACCTTCAGCTGCAGGCGCTAACACCAGGAGAGCAATGGATTTCAGATGAGTGGATCAAGCACACCAGCCACTTAAGCAGCCAACATGTAGGGGAAACAAAGACACATGAACCTTGCAGAGACCTGCTCAGCTTCAAACCAGCTTCTTGCTTCTTGCCGCTACTCCACCGCACCTCTCCGTCCACGTACGTCTTCTCCATCCTTCACAGCCAAAATACTGAGCAGAGCTATTTTTTGCTCTGCTCCGACCAGGTTAAGATCCACAATTGTAATCACACCAAACAGGAAAGAGAACATCGAGAAGATCCGGTTTGTCAAATTAAAATACGACAGATCGGTAACTACACATTGGAGCATAATTCTTCAGATGCCTGAAATGCATTGCAAAATGAAAATTTCAGACATTTAAAATAACATTCTTCCCATCTAATATGAACTTTTCAGATATCTTGAATGTAATTCCTACTAGTACAAATGATGTCATATTTCCCATTCAGGTGTATTTTTTTATTTGTATTTATTTATTTTATTTTCACAACAAAAACATAAAAACAGAATAATGTTTCACTAAAAAACAAAAAAAGAAAATGTGATGGACAACTACCGAAAAACCCTCAAGGGGCTGAATGAGTGGCAGTCTCCTTGAAAACATCCTTGATCCTCTGTATAATACACTAAACTGTGTTTGATTTGTAGGAGAGTAAGGAGGCCTGATAAGACAACTACAACGAGTTGGATACTGGTGAAATTCATTATTAATAGTAAAAATATTACAAAAGTGTTGGAAGTAACTTTTTTATGGAGCTGTAAACTAATAAAGCTATTTGAAGTTGATTCACTTGATAAAAACTAACAATACTTGCCTGAGCAAACAGTGGTTGGGAGGGGTGTCTATGATTTACACAAAATATTAGTCTTAAAGCTCGCTTCTGAAGTCGAAAAACAGATTGAAGTTTATTTGGATGGGTGCTAACCCAAGGAACATTACAGTAATTAATATATGCATATAACATTGAATAATATAACATAATTGCAACTTTTTTGTTAAGCAGGTACCGGATTTTTCCTAGTATATCGACTACTTTAGCTATTTTTGTACTTATGACACTAATGTGAGGTTTCCAGGATAAAGAATCATCTAGAAAAACACAGAGGAAACGAGCAGATCTAACATTATTAATAGAAATATTATCAATTTGAATTTTCATTGGAGATTTAAATGTATCAAACTTATAACCAAAAAATATATAACTTGTTTGTTTTTTTTTATGTTAAGTGACAATTTGTTGGACTTGAACCAAGAGGATAACTTGTGAAGTTCTTCATTAACTACCTTTACTAAAAATTTCAGGGTTTTTATGGAGGTAAAACACACTTGTATCGACATGGGAAATGTAACGTCATTTGTAATTTTAAATAACATTCTTTATATGTAAAATAAACATTCTGGATGTCTTAAACTGAATTATAATAAGGATGACCTTTTGTTTTTAATTTAAGAGTTTAACTTACAAATAATACTGGAGAATAAAGGTAAAATGAAGCAGATGATGAGAAGTGGTTCCTATGTCCTCCAGTAAACTAAGCCTATAGTAGCATAAATATAGAAAATATCTCAGGATAACCTAGCTATTCTGAATGAGGTATGAGAATGCAGAGCCAAGAAGACTTCACTCTGGACTGAATTCTCCTCAGGCTGTTCACTCTGTGTCCCACTACCTCTCTGCTCAATCAGCAACTGAATTAATAAACATCTTCTTCTTCTAGTTAGGTTTTATGGCGGTTGGAAAACTAGTTAAAATGACCATGTTCTGCACAGCTGCTCCCTTTAGATGGCGCCACAGATCATGTGACTCTTCCACCCACATCTATCATCTACTATCTGAGAGAACATCTGCATATGTTCCTTCAGTACATTAATGTACAGTACCTACTTTGTACTTTACTATTATGTATACTACAGAAAGCTTTATTTTAAAATGTTTGGTCTGATGTTACTCAGTTTTTAAATTTGTTTCATCTAAAAAATGTCCATCTTGCTCACTGTGTGGCTGAAAAACTGGTGCTGTGACTTTGGTGCCAATGACCCGGTACGACCAGATAAAGCAGAAGACAAGTTCTAGTATGTTCTATAGTTTAAATCAGTTCTCCAGGTAATTGGTATTCTATTAATAATGTTAAAGTTTCCTCATTAGAAGGCAGAGGAAAGATGAGGGGAACATCTCTACCATGTCTAATCTGTAAGTAGGAACGGTTTTAAACTTTTTTTTTTCCTAATGTGATCTTATTGTAGGTATGGCTGAGAAAATAAATTAATAACAAAATGATTTAGCTGAAATCAGGTAAAACAGATGTAAAGATTTATCACAGGATTAAAAAAACATTCTATTTACATTGTTCTCCGTCCTTCATATACGGTGCTGCTCAAATCTACTTTATATTGTTGGTTTCCAGGTTAAAATGATTGCCTTAAAAGATCATGGCTGTATCATTAAAAGTTTCTCCATTACATTGTCAAGAAATTAGATCTGTTGAGTTTGACATTTTTTTACAGTCTATAGAGTCTCAGTGATCATGTAAAAAGAAGGTTGAAGATAATAATTAATAATATTTTTATTTTTAGGGCTGGCCTTCTTTCACGGTCCTGCAGCAGAACAAGGTTGGTAATTATGTATTTTATTATCTAAAATAAAATGCAGTTTAATAGTTTTGGTTCTTTAGAAAATAATGTAACTGGTTATTTTTTTCATTCCCCCCAGCTGCTCTGACTGTGAGTCCCAGCAGATCTCAGTTCTTTCAGTTTGACTCTGTGTCTCTGAGCTGTGAGGAGAACAGCAGCTCTGCTGGATGGACTGTATGGAGGAACACAACCAGAGGAACCAGGACTCAGTGTGGAGATGGATGTGGAAACCTGCTGGTTCTACCTGTACCATCAGCCACCTCCTCCCATCAGACACTGGAGTTTACTGGTGTTGTCGTCCAGAGAGGGAGCAGCCAGCAGCAGCATCCAGCTCACTGTCACTGGTAAGATCAGACTGTGGAGTTAGTGTTGATGAAGCTGTGTGGAAATGGATGAAATGCTGTAGTTTGTCTCTGTGTTGAGGTGGATCAGTGATCCTGCAGAGTCCTGTCCTCCCTGTGATGGAGGGAGATGACGTCACTCTGAGCTGTCTAACAAAGACCACTCCCTCCAACCTCCCAGCTGCTTTCTATAAAGATGGCTCCCTCATCAGGACTGAGCCCAAAGGTCACATGACCCTCCACCATGTGACCAGCTCTGATGAAGGCCTCTACAGGTGTAACATCTTTGGTCATGGAGAGTCTCCATCCAGCTGGATCTCTGTTGAAGGTCAGAAGGATCAACATCTTTCTTCCACTGTCTGGGTTTCAGAGAATTAAGTTATTTTAATGTTTTGTTTATTCCTCAGAGAAACCATCCTCAATCACACCAACCCCCCCCTCCTCTGTTCCTACCACCAATCCTCCTTCAGATTCCCAGTTTACTCTCTGCTTGATCGTGTCCCTTTCATACATCAGTCCTCTGGTTTTACTGCTGATGATTCTGCTGATAAAACAAAGATGTTACAAGAAAACTGAAAGTAAGACTTTTGATTTTTACATTGAGTTTGTTTTGAATAATGGGCCATTTTTCTGCCATACGCCTCTGTGGTCATTGTAGCAGTAGTTGTAGGTTGCTGCCATGTAAACCTGTTTAGATGTTTTTTGTAGAGGAGAGCTGCCTTTTTGTTTAACTCCAGTGTAGGAGCCTGAATTTATACGTTTTTCTTGGTATGCATTATGGTTAATGTTTTGTTTTGCTTGCTAAATTTACTTTTCTTGAAAGTATTAAATATTGTTGGTAATTCATATTAATTTCGGGAATTTGTATATTTAGCTATTGTGGTTATTTTTTCATTACATGTCCTTTGGGCAACTTGTGTTTGGAAATGTTAAGGGCGCAGCGAGTAAGGCCATCTTCACTTATTTTGTGTTAACTGCTTATGTTCCATATGAAAATTTGATTCAAAATAGATATTAAAGATTTGAAATGCAAAAATAAAAGGCGTAACCTTTGAAGATGATTAAGTGCTATGATCCAACACTGATTTTGAGTCAATTGTTCTCATTACTTAGAAGCTATTGAGCAAATAAGGTATTATTTCCATATAAATGTCTTATTAAGGTGTATTATTATCAGTTGAATAATAATTTCCTTACTGATCACGGTTTTAGCCCCTTTCCTAAAAGGTCGGACTCCTGAATCTGGCTGTTAAAATCCAGTTGTCTTTCACCAATTTATTATTTTAGGCTTTGGCTCTTAGCAACGTCATTAATCACCAAATAAATGTGTCTCTGTTTTTCGGATGCTACTGAAAGAAGAGTAAATCCAACCTGAGTGATAAATCATTCACTGTGTAAAATGAACACAAAAGACCACGGGTTAAAAATACAATGGTGCCTTTATTAGCTACAATCACACAGTATTATATCTAATAACTAAGCAAACACTAATTACTACTGAAAATAAGAGTAAATAAATTAAAGAAATAAAAGGGGAAGAGGGTTTTAAGAGTCCGTTCAAAGTTGTTCGAAGTTTAAGGCTAAATGCATTTAAAAGTGTACCTTATAATAGCAGCAGATAAAATGTGAATAAATCCCGACACAGAGATGTTAACTGCAGTCAAAAAAGAGAAATTTTATTTAGTTTATGATGAAAAATGAATAATGATTCAGGAAGGCATTAAACTATGATGAGGCTAAAAGACCTGTCAGCTTAGCTTGCCCCAGGGGTTCTGGTTCTGGTCGGGTCCAACTGAAACAAAGAGAGGGTTAGCTCACGATGTAGCATCTTACATCTTTTGTCATAGCTTTCTTTGCCTTTGGAGCTTGACTTTTCACTGTTCGCACTTGCAATCCGATATGCTTCTGTCATTCTTTCTTTCCATTTCTTTGCATATCCTTCTGATGTATTTATGTCTTCTGCTGTCAGGAGGCCAAAGAGAAGGTCTACTGGGAGGCCAGGATGTCTGCCATACTACAAGTAGTATGGAAAGAAACCGGTGACCTCATGCTTTGTACAATTGTAAGCATGGATCACATGGGGTAGGTGTCCTTTCCAATCTTGTTTCTCTTTCTCTCCCAGGGTACGAAGAATCTGTAATAAAGTGCAATTTAATCTCTCAGCAGGGTTGCACTGTGGATGATAGGGGGAAGTTCTTGAGTGACCAACTCCAGCAAGCTCTCTGAGGGATTTGAACAGCTCGTTCTCAAACTCACGACCTTGATCGTGGTGGAGTTTGGATGAATATCCGAATCTGGGGATGAAGTCGTTGAAGAGACGATCAGCTGCTGTTTTTGCAGCCTTATTCTTGGTGGCGTACGCTTGCACGAATCTAGTGAAATGGTCCACTACAAGTAGGATTCATTGAAATCCACCTTTGCAGGATTCCAGATGCAGAAAGTCAATACAAACAAGCTCGAGTGGGGAGTTGGAGACTATGCTACCCATTGGAGCTCTTTCATGTGTTGCTGGTTTCTTTTGCTTTAGGCACTGGCACTTTCTCGTGACATACTCCTCAATCTCTCTCTTCATGAAAGGCCAATAGAACCGATCTCGGGCTAGGTTTAGGACCTTCTCTACACCCACATGGCCCATATTGTTATGGAGGTGTATGAGAACGGTATGTTTATAAACAGCAGGGAGAACCAGCTGCTTATGTTCTGTGGTCTTTCTGTAGAGAAGGCCTTCCTCCAGGTGTAGCCGACTCCACTCCCTCAGCAGTCTCTTTGTGTTAGTGCCAACCTTGGCTTTTTCATCTTCAGTTAGTGTTAAGTTTTTGTCTTTCATCTCTATGACTTTTCCAATAGTTGGGTCTGCTTTTTGTTCTTGGACCAACTCGTCATGACTAATGGATGTCAGAGGTTCTTCAAAGGGCGGTCCTGGTGAGGTGAGGTTGAGAGCTGCAATCCATGCAACATCCCCTTGCATGGCCCTCCTGCTTCCTTCCCATACTGCATCAACAGCCTCTTCTGACAGTTTCTCCGAGCACTCTTTCATGAAGATTTCGATGTTGAAGGGGCAACGGGACAGTACATCAGCATCTATGTTGACTTTCCCTGGACGGTATCTTATCTCAAAATGGAAATCTGCCAGTTGACCCACCCAACGATGTCCAACTGCGTTGAGCTTTGCAGTGCTGAGGACATAAGTCAAGGGGTTATTGTCTGTAAAAATTGTGAAATGTGGGGCATAGAATAGGTAATCTCTAAACTTGTCGCAGACTGCCCACTTCAGAGCTAGGAACTCCAGTTTCCCGCTGTGTAAGTGGTAGTTCTGTTCAGCAGGTGTTAATGTGCGAGACCCATACCCTATCACTCGCATCCTATTGTCCTGGTTCTGTCTCCTACTCTTAGGTGTCTTAAAGCAACGTTCCCTTCAGCAGATTCATATAGTACAAGGGGGTCAGTGGTGTCAAAGTTCTTGGGCACCCTGCACCATACTTGAACTGCTTTCCCTGCTGGGATAGTTACATTTTCTTTTCCAACCCTCAATGTAGCTTAGCCACTGTCTGTTCTTTCTGGTACTTGAATGAAGTTAACCATGGCCTCAACCTGGTTTTCATCCATTTCAAATGCTTTGCACAGTAGATCATAGAGTACTGCAGTAGCTTCCTTATTTGACTCCTGTCTTTGGATAATTGCTCCTAGCACATTAGCCCCTACTAGCGGTGTGGCAGTGATAGTTGGCTGACTAGGAATGGGGCTTGTACAGTGAGGTTTGGGTTTTCATGACCAGCCAGGGTTACTCTCAGCTCAACCCACTCATCATAAGGGACTACTTGGCCATTAACTGCATAAACTTCCAGATCATCATTTAGTAGCTCTTGGAGTGGTCTCACTTGGTAGCTGGAAATGTATCTTTTGGCCCACTGTCTATCAACAATGCTCACTTGTGAGCCTGAGTCAAATAACACTGTTACAGGATACCTACCAACCAGGCATTTAAGTAAGATTTCTTGCCAATCAGAGGAACTTTACATCTTACCTGACCCTGGTTAGGTGACGCGCAGTGTTCTCTTTTGTCAGGTTTAGAATAGTTCCTCAGCTGCTTACTGCTGTGCCTGGGTCGCCGGGTTGTAAGTTGTTCAGAGGTAGACTTTACTGACTGGGACCGGAGTTCTGTACTGGCCTCTGGCTGTCCCGTGACAGAGGCCGATTCCAGTTTCCCTGAATCCTGGGCCACTTTAGACATCCAACTGCCCTGTGCCCTAACTCACCACACATAAAGCAATGGCCACAGTCCTCCAAGTTCTGCCCAATGCATTTTTGGCAGAGAGACGTTTTCTTATGGGGTGTAGTAAGTTGGTTTGTTGGTGGCTGAGGAGGTTGGGGAGAAGGGTTGTAGGAGTCTGTAGTTCCACGTTCCATTAGGATGGCCACCATGTTGGTTAAGGTCTCGACTTGTGCAGCCAGCTGATTGATCGTCTGTGAAGTCTGTTGTTCTCTAGCTAATTTCTCTTTTGTTTCAATCACAGCACTTTGAGCTTGCGCTATCTTTTGGCGGGAAATTTGGCCTAATCTCCGCTGTCGTCGTTCTCATCACAAATAATCTTTGTAACGTCTTGAAGAATCTCTTCATACTATCAGAGGTGAGAGCTCTGGTGTTACTGCTGATGACTCTACTGATAAAACAAAGATGTTACAAGAAAACTGGAAGTAAGACTTTCGATTTTTACCTTAAATAGTTTTGAATATTATCTAATTTTATGAGGTTTAAAGCCAGCTTTCTATTTTAATTTTCAAAATCTCTTTCTGTGAAACGATAGGATCAGCTGAGACCAGTGAAGATGGAGGGGATAATGTAACATACAGCGATGTAACAATATTAAAGGAACATGAACAGAGAAAAAGACCAACAGAAGGTAATGATCTTGTTTTCAGTGACTTTCTTAGACAGGCTTTGACATGACTGATGCTATGGTTCTTCAATCAAGTTTGGGGTTTGTGTGTGTGTGTGTTTTGCCATGTTTTTTACCCTATGGGGACAATTTCCAAGCAACATGTTACAATTCTGGGACTTAAATATATATTTGTGGGGACCAGTTAGGAGAAATTCTCTTCTTGGATTGGGGATTAGGTTTAGGACTAAGGTATGAATTGAGTTTAGGTTGGCTTTAGGTTCATGATGGTAATGATTTGGGTCTAGGTTAGGCCATAGAAATAAATGCAGTATGAAAGGAAGTCAATGGAAAGTCGCCACAAGGATGGTGTGATACGTATGTGTGTACTTGTTTATATTACACATTTAGGACCTTTTCTGCTATATTTATTAGCACTCTAGGGACCAAAAGACCTTAAGGGGATCTATGAGGAAGTTAGAGATATCGTCTGAATAAGCGGTAGTTAAGCTTAGGAAAACACTGGTAATGGTTATGGTAATTGTCTAGGTCAGGGATTCCCAAACTTTACCATGCCAAGGCCCCCCTACACCAGTACATTTTCAGCTGAGCCCCCCCTCATATGAAACATGTGTAAACACTCGTGTAAGCTACAGCGACCTTATTAAAAAATGAGTGAACAAACTATCTAAATAAAAAACACATTTATTTTGTAAAGATTAAGTCACAATTACATTTTATTAACCTTTAATTCAGTAATTTAAGAAATAACATATAACAATAACATAGGCCCACCACTTTTATATATATATATTTTTTTCCTACTTGCTTTGATTCTGTTTTATCTTCCTGTATTTTAATCATGTAAAGCACTTTGCATTGTCTTTGTACTGAATTGTGCTATACAAATAAATTTGCCTTGCCTTGCCTTCAATTTTGATAACCTTTTTTTGAACGATGAACCTCTTTATACCTTCTCAAAAACAGAATGATTTTTGAACAAAGCAAACCCAAATTAAACATGCAGGCATTTTATATAATGCAGGCTTAACAGCAAATGTAGAAGTGAGAGAGAGAGACAGACAGACAGACAGACAGACAGAGACATACCAGGATAATGGGAACAGTGGGCCTGGTGGCTTCTACACAGTTTATCCAGTCAGGGCTTGATGTCTGTCAGAGCAACACGCATGTCATTCTCCACATTCAAACGTGATCTCTGTTTAGTTTTCAGTACTTTCAAAGTTGAAAAGGCAGACTCACACAAGTAAGTGGTTGCAAACGGAAGAAGACATTTCGGAGCCCTTTCAGCTATAGGGTGGGAAACTCTCTTCTTACATACAGCCAGAAGTTTGGGATAGAAAGGATTTCAAATTTGACTTTTAAGTCCCATGAGGTGGACATCTCAATCAGTTCCTCCTGTGCTTTTCAGTCCAGAGAAAAGCCAACATCATTGGCAAAGGGGGTCCTGACCCAGTTTAGCTGAAAGTTGTCAAGGTCAGGGAAATAGTCTCTGAAATATCCCTGGAGGTGTTCCAAGTGTGACTGTATCAAAGGGAAAATAGTATCCAAATCACCACTAGATGACAACTCTTGATGTAGTTGTGGGAACATTTCTGTAGTCCCCTCTTGCACCTTGCTTGCCCATAGGGCCATTTTTATGGAAAACGCACGTATTTTGTATTGCAGATGCAGTATGTACGTTTCACGTCCTTGCATGCTTTGGTTCAGTACATTTAGATGGTGAAATATGTCTGCCAAATATGCAAGCTTGAGAAGCCATGGTGCGTCTGTGAAACAGCTTGCCAGCTGATGTTTTTCAGATGCAAGGAATTCAGCGATCTCTGTCCATATCTCGTATACACTGTTCAAAACTGACCCTCGAGAAAGCCAGCATACAGTAGAATGAAGCAGCAATCCTTTAAACGGAGCTCCCATTTCGTCACACAGAATGCCAAAGAGGCAGTCCTTCACGGGGCAACTTTTAATAAAGTTAACCACCTGCACGGTCTCCTGCAGTACTTGGTTAAGCTCATCATCGATGCGTTTAGCCACAAGGGCTTCGCGATGGAGCATACAGTGTGTGAAAATTACTTGTGGGGCTTTCTGTTTTATTAGCGCGGTCACTCCGCTGTGTCTCCCTGTCATGGCTGCAGCCCCATCCAAACATACTGCAACACAACGTGACAAATCATTGCTATTTGTCCTCATGTAATCGTACAAGACAGAAAAAATCTCCCTTCCCGTGGCCCTACGTACAAGCACTTTGCATAACATTATTTCCTCTGCAAACTTTTCTCCTTGAAGGTACCTAACATAGACGAGCAGTTGCCAGCATGAGCCACATCA